TGATTCTCACTGTGATGTGATTCTCACTGTGATGTGATTCTCACTGTGATGTGATTCTCACTGTGATGTGATTCTCGCTGTGCCGCGATTCTCACTGTGATGTGATTCTCGCTGTGTCGCGCTCGGTTCACGAAAAAATTTGCCTCAAAGCTCTGTTCGTTTCTTGACCGTTCGACAGGAGAAGAAGTCCGAGGGAGAGGAGCAGCGGGACGCCGTCGTAGCGGTCCCAGACGAAGCCGCCCACCAGATGCAGCCCCCGGGAGGAGGAGAAGGTGAGCAGAGAGATAGAGAGAGGCGAGGCGAAGGAAGGCGACGTGAAGTGAGAAGGAAATGGTGGGGCGGAGGCGTAGAGAAGGTGGCTAGAGATGTGAATCGACTGGTGAGGCGAATGCAGTTCGCGAGGGCGGATGCGTCGCGAGAAAGCGAGGGTTAAGTGCCGAAACTCCCCCTCTTCCCTCCCCCCCCCACACACACACTGCGGTAAAGCCCCATACTCGCACTCTGCATCAATGCGCACGTTTTTCCGACATCGTTACAGTTGAGGTCGACGAGGATGAGGAAGAAAATGTGCAGTAAACTAAAATAGATTAAAATAGCACCACACGCACAAGATTTATCGAAATAAGTTTATTATACGTTTAAAGTAAAGTTAACTTGATCGAACCTATGCGATAGTCTCAGTCTACCGCAGGTGTAGCCGTGCGATACCTACTGTCCCGTACTCGCACTCCGTGTCAATGAGCACGTTTTTCTGATGCCGTTACAGTTGAGGTTGAGGATGAGGAAGATGATGGTCAGGCGAATGACGAGGGAGGGCAGCCCAATGTCATCCCTAAACCCGGAGATGACGGTAAGAATCAAAGCCCTGCTGACTAGCTAGCCAACGCCGTGTCGCCTCCCTTACTACGCTCGAAATACATCGTCCTCATTGCTAACATTGCAGTAATATTATTGCAAATTATAGTTTTATTTTAAACTTATAATGAACTTATTTGACTAAGTTTTGTTTTTAATAATGCACATTTTATTATTCTACGCCTCGTGATCGGTCACGTCCCCTCTGTTTCTGCGATGACCTGTGATTCGTCGCCAACGATCAGCATGATAGATGAAGCCTGGTACAAGTAGATGATGGTAGATGAGCGTGATCTGTGCGTACCCTAGGCTTCCTCTTCGTGAGATTGTGTCTTATTCGTTTGCGATTTTTCGCAGGTAACAACAACGAACGAGACGTGAATGACGAGGAGGAATACGTAAGTATGCGCATCCTAGCATTCTCTCCGAAATCAAGAAACGGGGCCGTCCGAGACTTTCATCGGCCGTTTAACTGAAGCGATTCTTTCGCATCTCGCGGATGTTATAGGTTATTTTAGGAAAAGTGTTGCAATCTTTTGCTAAGTCGGACATATCCCACTTCTATGATGGATGTTACTACGTGGTATGGCCTGCAGTCAGTTGCGCTATCCGCGAGTCCAAACACCACTTGGATAGCTCCATGGTCAACGATCCAGCATTATACATTTACGCATATTGCCATCGTTGTGCTACCTATCTACAAAAATACAGCCATGCTTGGCAGCACATATGATAGTATATCTAGATAATCTTGTATGTGCGCATGTATTGAAAGTTATTTTTGTGTGATGTATCTTTTCCTTGATTTTTCAGGAGCAGGATGATGATCATGCTGCTAATGATGGTATAAATCTAGATTAGTTGCAAAATCTAGTTTTAAATCTAAAACTGCATTATCCTTTATATCAAGAGCATATAAAGAAGGAGAGTGTACAACGGTGAAATGCTGAAACCATGTTGCAGTATTAGTCGAATTAATAAACTTTCCCCGTTTTATTTTGACGATTCTAATTGCAGTATTCGATTGCAGTATTATTGATCAGCTGTCCTACCTTGTTCATATAAAACAAACCACATGTCCCTACGATGCCCCTA